CCCCAAAACCCCAAAACCCCAAAACCCCAAAACCCCTAAATACATAAAATAAATTGAGATATTTTAGGAAACATGAATATGAAAAAATATTAACAATGTTGACCTTGGAAGACTTGGGCAAAAAGCGGCTATTCATTTGAACATCACTAAAAAGGCTATTTCATCCAAGGAGAAATTAGTCAAGGTAGGACCTAAGGCTTTAGAGCAGCCTTCTGATGATAAAATCCTTTCTTCAAATAAAGAGCAGAAGTCAGCAGTTGATAAATCTAGAAACAGTAATCTCAGAGGATCGCTTAGTAAAGGAAAGAAAGATTCAAAGAAGGGAGTCAAAGTTGAAGATACTAATGAAAGTAAATTTCATCCGCAAAAGGAAAAACAATCAGTTAAGAGTAACTCAAAGTTTGTCGAGTAAGTTAAGGTAATGAAAAGGCATCAGAAGAAGACTCTCCTCGAAGAAACATTATTGAAGTAAAGATGGACTTTGAGTTTGGAAAAAACAACAGTCTAAGAGAACGATATTTACTAAATAAAAGAAGTTCAGTGAATAAGTTCGAGATTCATAGTGCAATGAATAATGTGAAGCAACTAAGTATGATATAATTGTTAAATTTTACAGTCAATTCAGAGGAAGCAGTGCAACATTCAACTACTCAGCTATAAAAATGCAGCCCAAAGCTTATATTCAAGAGACAGCAATAAAGACAATTCAGCCAGTTCCAGAGACTGTGAATAAAGATCAATCTTTTGGTATTTTTCCTTGTTAAAATATAAGAAAATACGAGTAACTCTTCATTACTAAGAGTTAAAAAGCAGAATTCTAACACAAATTCTAATGAACATAGAAACATGCTGGTAGGTTTATGACTAATCTTGTAGGATTCTTTCGAGGATGGAGAGAAACTTGAGGAGACAAAGGATGAGCCTAAAGACCTTAATATCCCAAAGATTTCTATCAAGATAACATAAATCCTGAATTTGAGATAATTAATCGTATTTATGAAAAATCATATCAAAAACAAAAATTGCCAAACAAGAAGAGGGGGGAATAGACACAAAACCAAATATTTCAGGTAAGGTTCCAAATAATCTGTAGGCTGATTCCTAAGAATCCCATGATGAAAAGTGAGGTACAGAGGATCGACCCTGGAATTCTAGAATCTCCTGAAGAGGTAAGAGTGATTGCTCTTAAATATTTAGAAGCGGTAAATAAAATACTTAAAGCATAAACTGTCATTTTCTTTTACTAGTCCTTAAGTTAAGGCTTTAATGATGATAGATACAAGAGCCGAGTTAAAGAAAATTATCAAAAGAGGAAAGTAGATAAAAGGCTAATGACGAGTAGGATTTGTCCTTCCATTCATTATAATTTCTCTAGTCCAAATGTTAAACGAGAGAGTGAAGGGTCAAGTTGAGCATCCTCCAGAAGATGCTTATAAGAAGCTTAATCAGAATCCGATATTAAAAAATCTTGAGATTTCCATGAGAGATTGTAATGAAAACTCTATTCAAATAAGTCTAAAAGATAAGAGAGAAATTGATAATAGGATTAACCAATAAGCTGGCAATAGCTTAGGAAAACCTAAGAATTCAGACACGTTCCGATGCAGAGGCATCTCTTATGACTCAGGCATTTCCCTCTCTACTAAATATCCAAGTTTATATTTCAATAGGTTTGGGTACTTGTATAATTTCTCAAAGCAGAGAGGTCAAGGACAAGCTGAGAAAAGAAAGAATATGACTGTAAAAGTTTCTGTAAAGAATTTATATAAGGAGCATGAAATCTCAAATATCCAACAAATCATCAAAAATCCTTGTATATTTGACATTAGAGACAAATTAATGACTAGAAAATTGTCAGATGCAAATCGCCTCCTTTGACCACCAGTCAACAGACTGCTAAAGAGTTAGTTAGGATGAAATATGAGGAAAGGCACAGGAAGAATCTGTCTTTGCAAATAGAGCCAGTTCAGAGGAAGTACTCTCTTTGAATTTGTAGAGGGAATTAAGAATATTCTTATGGATAAAAATTCTAAATTTGCAGAGAAGATCCCTGCAAAGATAAAAAGCACCTACCTCAATAACCTCATGGATAAAAAGAGTTTTTTCTCAAAGTTAGTTCACAATAGACATCGCCCTCAAGGCAAAGATGGTTTTGAGGAATCAATCAGTGGTCAAGAAAAAGCTGTAAGTGTCATTTCTCATTTTAGTTTCATAATGAGAGGCACATCAATCGGAAGCTGAACTATTCTGCAGCTTATAAAACCTATATTAGAAAGCCGGATCTTAATAATAGCATGAAATATCTTTAGATTAACATAATGACAATATCATTAAATATCTTAGACTAATTTCAGTGAAATTTGAAACTGAGAAAAATGTGAGGATGCATTCAAACATAATAATTTCTGCTGTTTGAGTTTTGGATCTGCGAGATATTATCTAGGAGAGAGTTAAAATATTTAAATATTAATCCAAGAATTGATTACTTTCGAAGTATAGATCTGAAAACTTTTTTAAAATCCCAAATCTTATTATGATATCTCACAATGATCGATACATTTCTGATAACCACCTCTTAAATTATTTAGGAGATATTGTAAAATCAAAAGATGATAAATAGCTGTCATATTTATTAGAAATAATATTTAATTGTTAATGATGGAGGGATATGAGGAGTATCTGGATCAACGTTCTTATGCTCAGAGCTATGCAAATACTAGTGGGCATAATGCCTGGAATTACTCCTTATTTGGATATAATGATTATGCAGGTCATAACCAAGATTTTTGGGAACCATATAATTCCAACTATAATTCTGACAATTTTAACTGTAGTCCATCGTATAATAAAGAATTGCAATTTAGCAGATTGAATAATGAACCTCAGAAAATGGCTCCTAAAGAGGCTCTGAGCAGTAATATGTTGGAGGCGAAGAAGTCAGGGAGGGTGTTTTATCCTTCCAAAGTGACCCATTTTCGTCATAACAGTCATGATAACCAGACTAAAGTTGTGAGGCAGGATCTAAGTCCGCTAAATAGATCACATGACAACACTTGAGGCAGTAGCTCAGGAATCACTGATTCTTCATCCAAGGAGGGAAGCGGGTCTAAGGTGCAGATCCAGAAGCCTCAATCTGAAAGAGTGAAAGATATCATTCAAATTAAACTGAATTTTGAAGACGATGTCCTACAGGAAAACCCAACTCTGATTGTAGGAGTTGTGTCAAAGAAAGAGGGTGTTAAATATGAGCTTGATCCAAACGATATCAAACTAGTTTTCGAAAAATTCGGAGATGTAGCTAATGTTGAGATTGTAGAAAGTTGAAATCAAGCTGTTGTAACGATGGAAGATCTACAGAAAGGTCAAGAGGCTGAAAAATATTTCAACTTCTACCAGCTCCCTGGAGCTGATGCTTATCTAACTGTCAAATGGCTGTTTGGAGATTGAAAGGAATTGCAAAGAGTTGCTAAACAAAAGAAGTCAATGGTTAAGGAGAGAAGTAATTCCGAAAATAAAACCTCAACAAGAAAATCAGATCAAGAGTTAGTGGTGCAAAAAGAAAAGTATGCAAAAGAAGATGGAAGCTTAATTAGTCAAAACTCTTCTTCTAAAGCTACTGAGGAGCAATGTACTCTTCAAGCTTCGATAGAGTCAAACATTAGTAAGGAATGTACTTCTGTGTCTAAGTTCACAACTAAGTATGAAATTCCAATTAGAGATCTTCCAGGATTCTATGTCGCAAGGAAGATTATTGGTCATAGAGGCAAGAACATGAAATCAATTTTGGGAAAGCTCAAGAAAAACAATTTCAAAGGACCAATCCAGGATGTCACCAGACTTAGACTAAGAGGCCAAGGATCAGGTTTAAAGGAAGGCCCAAACAACTGCGAGAGCCCAGAACCTTTGTACTTGTGTATTAGTTCTAAGTACTACGAAAAGTATTCGGAAGCTTGCCACCTTGTTGAGAATCTGCTTAAGGATGTATGCCAAGAATACAACAACTTTTGTAAGTGGAAAGGAAGGCCAATAGTTGGCTACAACGTTAGAAAGTTGGAGAATAACCCAGCCTGGTATCTATCTAATTTATTCGACGCACAGAAATAAGTGATTGCAAGAAGTGTCCTTTTTTGGGAGAAGTAAGAATCTCTCAAAGGGATAATACAAGAATATAAAAATTAAATGCTTCCAATATTCTCAACGAGAATGGGGTTTTGGGGTTTTGGGGTTTTGGGG